AATTAAAAAGTTAAAAAAAAAAAAAAAAAGTAAAACCCACTATTAATCTCAATGAAATGTTCTTTTTCCTCACTATTTTCTACAATTAAAAAAAAAAGTTGTTTTGACTTAGGGGCACTTGCTGATCTTAAATAGATAATGTAAAAAATGGCAAATAATTGTAAGCTTTCCTAAATCCAGTATCTACTTAAAATAATCCACCTGGAAAATATCATCTGAAGGAACATAGGATTTGGTTTCTATACCAATGTAAAAGAAAAAAAAAATTTTAACACTCTATGTAAAAATGTTTTCAACTAGCTATGTTCCTCCGTTGTGTTTTGTACTAAGTTTTATGAAGAAAAACATTTTGTAATATTGTCCTTTGTATTCCCTCAGTAAGTATTGGAAAAGATACCTGCATAGGTGGTCAAAAAAATTACTTATTCAATTAACTGAATATAAATTCAGTTAGCATTCTGGATTTTCATAATTTCAAAAATTGCTAATTTTCATTTATGTCCATTTTGTCTATATTCCCTCTACATGATGATAAATAAAATTCTCCCAGGCTTTTCTTAAGTAAGAAATCAGTCTCATTCATCACTTGTACATTTGTACCTGAATAATTTACCAAATGAAACACAAATTCAAAAAATTGTCATTATTCTCAGTAAGACATAGAAATAAATATTTTCTTTTGCTTTTTTTTTCATTCTCTCCTTCAATCTGTGTTTTAAGGCTCAGAGCAGACATTAAGAAACATTAAAGCTTATATATATATATATATATATATATATACACACATATATATATAAAGTTTTTAAACATTTGGCCCAAAGTGAAGTTGTTCTGTTGAAGTTATTGAAATTTTCCTCTCATCTTCTCAAGCACAGCTTCAAAATGTTCAGCCCAGGCATCTATTCCAAAAAGAAAATCCAATTCAATGAAAAGTAAATAACTCAGGGATCTATAAATGACACTGCAATGTATCGTGTTCCATTTTTAACAGGAAGTCCTTCGTGCAGATGTGTGAGTCTCCCAGGATGCATGAAACTCCAGCCTTTTCTTGGTGACTCAATGGAGCAATTGTACCTTAGAAATTTGCATCCACCACCCTAAAGGAGTTAGAACAAAGAAATGTATCAGTTTGTTATTTTTAATTTTTACTCAGTGGCAAAATTAAAAATTATGTCTTCTGAGTAGAGTCTTAAAAAGCTTCGTTCATGACAAAAAGAATGAGTTATAAGTACCTGAAAATCTTCTCCCACATTATTGAGCGCAATGTTGATGGTAAATGTAGACGCATCGTGATGAGGACGAAGAGAACGCTGTCTGTCGGGTGAGTATTTTACTACAAAATTCAGTAGCGCAAACCCCTAAAAAGTAAACCAATAGATTTGCTTATCAGTGAAATAGACAAAAGTACATTTGTGTAACAAGTGGTAGGGGGTAGGTGAGTGTGGGGAGGAGGGGGTGAAAGGAAAGTTACTTACCTTTGTATAATAGCCTGCAAAGACCTTCAGTGTAACAGGTGCAATAAACTCCCGGATGAAATGGAGCCATACATTCTCCAGATCAATTTGCTTCATGTGGATGTCATCAGTTGGGACGTTTTCATAACCACCAGATATACGGCTATCCTGGAAGCAGCATTAATGCCATCATAAAGTGTGGTCCACATGTAATTCACATTTACATTATCTTGGTATTTTTCAACCATAATATCCGATAAAAGTAACAGTTGTTCAATTATGGCATGCCATCTGCTTCAATGGCAAAACTATCAAACCAACTTAGTTAACATGACTTTGCATATTTGTCAATGGTGAAATAAAGTGTTGCAGCCAAATGGATCCTTTTTCTAATTATTCCATCTATATGGGAGGTTTGACCATAAAGAAAATAAAATAGAGTTTCTGAGCTGTCCCATCCCCACTGAAAATGAGTTTTATTTACTTATTAATAATTACTCTTCAAACAATCACAGCGGCATTATATGCATAGATTCTGTTTAACTGTCCTTTGGATAACCTGCCACTGAAAACAAGCTTTCCCTGCTATGTTCCTTCCTTCCATTTTGTGGCACTCAAAGTCTTTCAATGATTGTCTTTATTACTCTATAATCTGCTGACTTCAAATTCTTCCCTATACTTTGAACTTTCCGCTTTCTGATCAGCTATCTATCTGAGGGCATTAAATGAGCCAAGGCAGTAGTTTTCCAGGGTATCCTACTACAATTCTCAGTATTGTCAAAGAGCTTTCATCTGTGGGTTCTCAGAAGAAAGGAAACACATTAGACCAGCAGTAATGCTTCCTGCCAAGTCTTTGACACTGAATGTAAATGCAAAACTGAATTACACCCAAAGCATTCAAATAGATCTCTCCTTTCTACATTTACACATAAAAACAATAGTTTTGGCAGTCAACAAGATAAAGCTTGTCTTAGTATATTAAAACATTGAAGCTTCCTATGGAAATAACAGGGAGTAAAAAGTGGCCTTCGAGAAGAGTGATACAACATAGTGAAACATATTTTACCTTACCATCTCCAGCCTCAGGACACTAATCTTTAGAGACCATCTAGTTAAATTACATGCACAGAAGAGAAAACAAGGCCTACACAGATTAAATGACCCTTTGGACATTAAACAATTTGCCAGTGGTAGAGTTGGATCTAAAATGGAGTTCACCTGACCCCTGGGTTAGCCATTTCATTTAGATCCAGGAATCAGAGCTTTATGACAAAAAATAACACCTCCACTGTGAATACTGATTATCTACACACACACACACACACACACACTCTCACACACACACTTCCTTTTTTTTCTGGAATTACAACTTACATGATGTTTTCCCCCAGACCACTTGCCATAATGCTCCATTTCTTCCACCAATTCATCACAGGCTTTTTCAGAAAAGATGGGGAACCAAAAGACATCTGGACAAGGCTATAAAACATGGCATCACCGTTAGAATAATATATTGTGTCTTTTACCTAATAAATGGCATTTGAAAAGCAATAGGACAGAATATTCAAAAACTGAGGTCACTTGGACATCTTTTTTAAGTTTGCCCAAAGTTATTGACATATGCTCTTACAAACAATACTGGTTACTAGGCCTTTTTGTTTTCCTTCACATTTTAACATCTGTGAAATCAAGATGTGTTAGTTTTTACTGGTTCCAGAGAGCTTTAGGAGCTCTGGTAGCATAGTGCCTAAGGCACTTGACTGCTAACCAGAAGGCTGGCGGTTCAAACCCACCAGCCACTCCTCGGAAGGAAGGTTGAGCAATCCTCCTTCCGTAGTGATACTGCCTCGGAAACCCAAAGAGAGGTCGCTATGAGTCGACTTGATGGCAAACAACAACAACAACAACAGAGAACTTTAACACTAAAGAGTTTGCTAAAAAAAAAAAAAAAGGGCATGATCTTAAAATTATTGTTAATCTCCACGATCTATATTTTTAAAACTGTGTGATTGCTAAAATTGTAGAATTGGTAACTCAACTCTATGAATTCCACTTATAGGATATTTTCTTCATTTCGCATTCAGCTAGGAATGGTTCAACATTCATTTTGTCCTCACTTTATGTCTCTGTATATGTGTATTTAGTTGGTGCTTCATGTGTTGAGTTGACTTGCCCTTTGAATTATCTTTAAAAAAGATTTAGATTATGACTTGTCATTAAAATGAAGCCATCCCTATTGATCACTTAGAAATCATTTTATGAGCGCTCTGGTGGCGTAGTACCTAAGGCATTTGATTGCTACCCAGAAGGTTGGCAGTTCAAACCCACCTGGCACTCTTTGGAAGGAAGATTAGGCAATCTACTTCCATAGAGATACGGCCTCAGAAACCCACGGAGGAGTTGCTATGAGTTGGGACCGACTCCACAGCATTGAGTTTGGTTTTGGAAGTGATTAAAAAACATTATGCTATAGTTTAACTGGCAGTATTTTTTCTATGTCATGGTACATAAAATAGTGGTGCAACTTCAGAACTGATAACATCTGACATTCTCTGAAATAAGTATTAGCAATAGTCAAACAGTAATCTAAACTAGAGTTCATCTTTGAAAAGACCTCTCTGAGCAGACAGTCTTAGAGCTCAATTTCTTTCAAAGATAAGCTTTCATAGGGAGAGATCACTGATTAATGATCATTCCATGGCTATTTTTTCAGGTTCCAGAAAGCTCTAACATTGAGTCTGCTAAAAAAAAAGAAAAAAAAAAGGCATGATCTTAAAATTATTGTTAATCTCTACATTTTATATTTTTAAAACTGTGTGATTGATAACTCAGCTGAATTTTTCCTCTAAGATATTTTCTTCATTTTCATAAGATCCTACTTAAAGTACTACTGCATTAATATTTCCTTATGGAAAAAGTAGCAAATACATTCTACACTTCATAATAACCATTACAAACCTGTTCGACCAAATTTTCAGTGAAAATCTTTGAATAGTCTCGGTTTATATACTTTTCCTTCCAGTCCTACAATAGAAAATAAATAATAAATTGTACAAATTAAAGCAAGTATCATTTTTTTAATAAATAGCTTATTGCAAAATATAAAGAATATGTGTTTTAGAGATTGCTCAAACATTTATAAATGACTACATGTAGTGAAGAAAGGAGAAATTTGCAGAAACTATAGTATATGTTTTAATATTTGCCTGATTCTGTGTCAGCTCACATCATTCTACGAAAAATGAAATTCTTATTTATGAAATTTTATACCTCAGGATTTTAAAAAGTAAGTAATCTCACAGTGATTAGATTTGTATGCTGTTTCCTATGCATAAACACATGTATGTTTAAAAGTGAAAAACAAGGAATAAAATGCTAACAATAAATATTTGAAAACACTAAGTAGCAAATTAACTATAACTAAGGTCTAACTGGGAGCTCTGGTAGCATAGTGGCTAAGGCACTTGACTGCTCACCAGATGGCTGGCGGTTCAAACCCATCAGCCACTCCTCGGAAGGAAGGTTGGGCAATCCTACTTCCGTAGTGATACTGCCTCGGAAACCCAAGGAGGGGTCGCTATGAGTCAGGGCTGACTCGACGGCACATAACAACAACAACAACAACAAGGTCTTACTTATTCTTCCATAGGAAACTTCTCCAAAATATATTTTATTTTCTAAATGAATTTAATTTTTCTTGCTTTCATGAGTTATTAATATTTATCCAAGAATGCTTAAGGGATTACTAAACTTTCCCTTTTTTAGTTACTGAAATTAAAGCAAAGAGCCTTATATTGACAAAAAGCTCCTTTTCATGCTCATTTATGAACGTGATTCTCCTCTGTGACCAATCTGTAAAACATAAATCACACACAAGGGCATAACAAACTTTTTCAACATAAATTATTTTAATAGATTAAATATTTTATTTAAAATCTCAATATTTAAATAGTGTGTATTAAAATATAGACAGATTTAAATATGCAAATATTAATGTATTTAGACTGTTTAACACAATTTAATTTTCTTTTTACAAAATAAAAACATAGAGATCCAGCCGAGAAGAACTGAGACTTGGACTTAAAATAATCTCAATAAAAATATGTGTACCAAGTATTTGTCAGAAATATATCTTTTGCAGTCAAATTTCAGGGGGACCTTGAGATATTTATTTGCCATTCTTAATTTTTCATCTGTCTCCATAAACATAGCTCAGACATCTTTTATATGGAGAAGCCAAAGCTGTCTTCAAATTCTTTAGTATATTTCATAGTATCCACAGTATATTTAGTATATTTCATATATCCATAGTATATAATAATAAGGATCAAATTACCATACTATCTTATTATTCCAATATTGATTAGGTTTCTGATACCAAAAATTGGAAAATTCAAAGTAAATAATAACGCATAGCATTTCAGAATATCACTCTATTGTATTTTTTTTTCCCCCTATATATCTGTCTTAGTTACCTAAGGGTGCTATAACAGAAATACTACAAGTGGATGGCTTATGAAACAGAAATTTATCCTCTCACAGTTTGGAAGGCTAGAAGTCTAAATCCAAGGTACCAGCTCTAGGAGAAAGCTGTCTCTTTCTGTTGGTTGTAAGGGATGGCCCTTGTTGCCTTTGAACATCTTGGAGCTCTCCATGTGTCTTGTCACCAGTCTTCCCCTGGGTTTAGGATGTTCTCAGCCCAGGGACATTAGGTCTAAAGAATGTATTCTACTCCTGGCTCTTTGGTGGTAGTAGTCAGATCCCTCTTTTTCTGCTGGTTTCTCTTTTTTGTTTCTTGTAAGATAAAAATATGATGCAGTCCACATATCAGGGTAACTCCCCTTATACTGGATAAGGGCTGTGGCCTGAGTAAGAGTGTTGCATCCCACTCTAATCCCCTTACAATTGATTGGCTGATCACATCAAATAACATCATGGGGGATGATTACATTATTACATCATTACTAAATGAAATCATTACACCTCAGCCAAACCACTGAGAATCATGGTCCAGCCAAGCTGATGTACGATTTTGAGGGGCACAATTTAATCCATGACATTGCACCCTTTGCTCTCCCAAATTCATGTTCTTGCCAAATGCAAAACACTTTTAACACATTATATCATCCCAAAAGTCTTAAATCAGCTTTCAAGTCCAAATTCCATCCTGGGACAAAGTTGCTCTTCATCTGTGACTCTAGAACACTAGTTATCTTCTTCCAAAGTATAATGTGGTACAGACACAAGGTAGACACATCCATTATAAATGGAAGCAATTGGAAGGAAAAAAAGCAATAATGGGCAGCAAACAAGTCCAAAATCTGGTAGAACAACTTATATTAGCTCTCAAGACTTGAAAATAATCCTCTGTTTTCTGAGATTATCTAGGCAATGACCCTGTCTTACAAACTCTAGGTGTTGGGATGCATTCTGGATTCTGGGTAAAGTCCCTTCAGCCCTGGGCTTCAGCTCCACCTTCCAGGCCCACTGGGCCACTAACTCCCTAGGCTTTTGGAGGCCTTATTCCCCGAGTCCAACTGAATGGCTACCCCCTACCCTTGGTCCCAGAAGGCCCCACTCCTCTGCCCTTTGGGCATGGCAACTGTGACCACTCAGCTTTGGAAAACCGACCTATCTTTACCCAACTGTAACTCATGGATAGCAGCCCAACACTCTAGAACTGAGTTGGTAAAGATCAGACTCTTTGAAATCTAATAGGCTGTTGCCCCACCCTCTGAAAGCCCAGAAGCCATGGACCCACTCTTTGAGACCCCAGAGGTTGTGGCCCTAATCTTTAAGACTGAGGCAGTTCTGCTTCCCATGCTCCTTATTTGTTCAGCTGCTTCCTGGTTCCTTGGTCTATTGACCTCTCAGCCTTTTGGGCCTCCTGGGTTGGCCTTGGCTTCTGCCCTGCTCAGACAAGTGTTACAAAGCTCATCAGTTCTACAGATAAAGGCACCCCACTCTAACAGTCTAAGTCTTGGACCAAAGGCACTCAGCTCGCTCTTGCTCCCTGTGTGGGAAAGCCTAGCTCTGCTAACCAGTGGCCAGAGGCACCCCACTCCACCAGGAAGCCTCCTGCCTGAAGCCACTCAGCTCTGTTCATTGGGTGCTACCTCTCTCAGGCTGGTATCCTGGTTCCACCACCATTTCTCTGCCGCTGCTTATCATCTGTGCCATCTCCAGTGTTACAGCTCCCCTTACTTCCTTCTGAACCTGAACCAGAATTGCTTTTGATGTCATAATTCCATCAACAGCCTCTTCAAGACAATCTAGGATTTTACTATTGTTGTTGTTGTTATGTGCTGTGGAGTCAGACCGGACTCACAGTGACCCCTCCTTGGGTTTCCAAGGCGGTATCACTACAAAGGTAGATTGCCCAACCTTCCTTCCGAGGAGTGGCTGGTGGGTTTGAACTGCCAGCTTTCTGGTTAGCAGTCAAGTGCCTTAGGCACTATGTTACCAGAGCTATTAGGCACCTTAAAACTCTTCCAGCCGCTATCCAGTACCCAATTCCAAAACTGCTTCCACATTTTAGGTAAGTGTTAGAGCAGTACCCTACTCTAGGTACTAAATTCTGTCTTAGTTATCTAGTGGTGCTATAACAGAAGTACCACAAGTGGATGGCTTTAACAAAAAAAAAAAAAATATATATATATATATATATATTCTCTCACACTTTAGGAGGCTAGAAATCTCAATCCAGGGTGCCAGACCTAGGGGAAGGTCCTAGTCTCCTTTCAACATCTGTGGCCTCAGCATTCCTTAGAGAGCTCCACATGTCTTGGCATCAATCTTATCCTGGGCTAGGAGGTTCTCAGCACAGGGATTTGAGCGCCAAAGAATGCTCTCCGCTCCTGGCTCTTTCTTGGTGGTAGTTAGGTTTCTTCTTCTCTGCTAGATTCACTCTCCTTTTCACTGTTATAAGATGGAAGGTGATGCAGGCCACAGCCCAGGAAACCCCCACTTATATTGGACCATGGGTGTGACTTGAGTAAGGGTGTACATTCCACCCTAATCCCCTTATAACTGATTGGCTGATCACATCAGATTACATCATGGGACATGATTATATCATTACATAACTGCCAAAATACCTCATTACATAACTGCCAAACCACTGAGAATCATGTTGTTGTTGTTGTTATGTGCCGTCGAGTCGGACCCGACTCATAGCGACCCCTCCTTGGGTTTCCGAGGCAGTATCACTACAGAAGTAGATTGCCCCATCTTCCTTCTGAGTGGCTGGTGGGTTTGAACCACCAGCCTTCTGGTTAGAAGTCAAGTGCCTTAGCCACTATGCTACCAGAGCTCCCTGAGAATCATAGCCCAACTAAGTTGATAAATATCTTTTGAGGACAAATAATGACAGTATCATTATTGATTTATTTTAAATAAATTTGTAATAAATATAATTAAATAATAAATATAATTGATAATTTATTTTTAATAAAAAGTCTTAAGGGATTTACTTTAGAATATAACTATTAACTTCTCATTTTTGACCACCTTTCAAAGTATTAGTAAACAAACTGTAACTTCATTAAATTTCTATAAACTTTGATAATTGGACAATAATTATTTTGCTGAAATATCCCTTTGAAGACATATCAATCAGGGTAATTTTCCAAAGTATAAAGTAAAAGCACGGTGGAAAAAAAAAAAAAACGTAGTTCTTATTTAATTCTTATATTTTCACTGGATACTTTTTAAAGATTCAAATCCTCACACAAACTTCTGATTCAGGATATAATTTAGACATTTTACCAAGAGGCTAATATTACGCAACAAATCAAATAATTGTACTCCTCAAAATACCAAGAGGTTCAATGCCAAGGTAAAATATATAATTCCACCCTCAACATAAAAAGCCTCTTTTCAATTCTGCTTCTGTGAAAGATGAAGATATGCACCCAGAATGAAATAGAAGTACTAATGCCAAAATGTCAAAGGATATCCCTTCCTATTCAAGAGAGTATTCAAAGATGACTAAATTTACTATTCTTGTATGTCAACCCTGCCAATAAAATAAAAGATAAAAGACAGTTCTCTTCAAGGGAATTAAATGTGTAATTTGATACTTTTACTGTTAGCAGGGGGAAAACCACAAACAGTAGTGCTATACAGAGGAAAGATGAGTATTCAAGACTAGTTTCCCTTGAATAAATATGCCTACTTGACAAGAGAAGAGACATTAAGACAAAAAGGAGCTAATTCCTACATGATTCAAATCTTTTTTAAAAAATTTAGAATTTAAAAGAAAATGGTTCATTCAATTTGACTTTTTTAATATGCCGAATCTGCCTATTATTTTGTAATTTTCTCTGCCTGTATTTAGTGTAGATTCATGAAATTGTTATGAAAAAGTAAAAATTATAAAATCTGTTTCCCCAAACTTCTGAATTTTCTTCATGAAAATAAAAATGTAATACTATCATATATATGAATTATTTATAAATATTTTTCTGAAATTGTGATTGAAAACTGAATGGTACTTTTGAATGTCAATACAGAAGTACTGACAGAAATCAATGGAATTGATCATTCTCATTCCCAAACCTAGTATGGCTTAATAAAAATATTTCTTTGTTAAGTTGACGCTAATCTAAAAATTACCTCATTTAAAAAAATAATAAAAAAAAAATAACACATTTTTATATTATAACTCAATTGATGTGTAACCATTTAGTCATAAGAAAATAAGTAAAAAATGAAGTTGCAAAATAAGTACCTACCACAGGATTTTCAAAGATCTGCCAGAGGTCATTGTTATAATGGGAAGTATTGTAATTAGCAGTTGATAACAGCCTTCCAAATTCATGTCTATTAGAAATGTACATAAACATACCCTATATGCCAAAAAATAATAGTATTAACAATCTTACAGGAGAATACAAGAAAATAAACTTAACCATGGGAAAAACAAAAAGAGATATTAGCTTCAAATTTTATATTTTGTTCATGAACATGCATTTTTATTTTTCATATAAAAACGTGCATGATTTAAAATAAATGAAATGTTGATTAATTATGAATTCAGACACCACACAAAACTAGATAGCACTGACACTCAACTGAAAAAAAGAAGAGGAAGAGTGGATTGTGTTTGTCCCTTTCTCAGTGATCCTAGATGTAGACAGCAGAAAAGAAATTCCTGTTTGAAAGCAGAAACATTTTTGAGACACCATAGTGCAATAAACTGTACCTCCTTTGGCTTCTTTCCATTTCAAAGAAGATAACAGCACATTTTTTAAAGAGAATTCAAAACATCAACATTATTTCATTAGTCTATTTCATTATTTCTTTGTCCTGATGTTTAAATACCGAAGAGTAATTAATAAAGATTGTGTATTATAAAGTAGCTAAAAAAAAATCAGATTCATAATTTTTGTTCCAAACCTAATAAATGTGGCAAACACAACCAACGTATATTTGTTTGTTTGTTTTTCCTTTGTACCTGTTTTAAAGGTGAAATGGTTAGTAATTAAAAAAAAAAAAAAAGGTAATGAAGGTTACTCAAATCTCATTTTAATCAAGATAGACTTTATACCTATACTTATGGCTTCCTCCCCTTAAATAAAATAAAATAAAAGGCTAGAAAAATTATTGAAAGGGCTTTTGTTTAGCTTTCTCACCTTTCAAGTATAAAATGTAAATCTTCCAAAAGAACCAAGCGTTGAACATTACACACACACACACATGCACACACACATACATAATATACTAATTAAAAATCAATGAATACCAGTATTTTAAGAAGCTAAGTGGAAAGAAAGCTCTTAAAGAAATTTTATACTAGGAAATATATTATATCTATTGATAATTAAATAAACAAAAATAAATACAAAATAAATAAATGAAAATAACACCTTTGGGGGGCTGAGCATTTGGAATGTTTCCGGAGTAGGGGAGTCTTTTTCCCTTTGTAAAGTCTAAAATGAAGAGAAGCATTGGGTAAGTTGACCTGCATACTCTCTTTCTCAGGTACTCTTAGGTAAATAAAAATAGCAGCCTCTATCAAAAGCTGACATTCTGTAATGCCCTTTGTAGACAGCATGCAGAACAAGCAAAGCTTATAGCATACACATAAAGAGTAACTCCAGCCGTTTCTTTCCTTTTTTTTTTATTTTGGTCAAACATATATCCAAGCTCATTCCTTAGTAGAACTTTCAGTAGACACAAAATTAAGACAAAGGAAAAAAAAAATGAGTAAGAAAAAGGCCATTCCAGGATGCGCTGTTGGGTCAAATTAGCCAAACATGAGCACAAATTACAATCACAGGTACTGAGAATATTCAATAGAACAATACACTTAGGTTTGTAGGAAAACAAATATATTCAAACAACATACATGCCTTGTTAAACTAAGAATAATTAATAACAATAAATACTTGCCAACTTTTCTGATTTTTTTTTCCAAATCATACTTGCTTATATAAATTTATAAATGAAATGAATAAGTCATTTTTAAATAATCAAATAAATATGTTTTAAAGCATATTTGTACATTTTGAAATACAAACTGTATTTTCTGCATTTAAATTTTATACAATTTTATCTGCAGAACAATAATATATTATTAATTTTCATGTGGGTTAAATATATGACCTATCTTTACCCTTCTCCCACCCTAGTGGTAAGGAATCTGCTTTCTAAAACTATAAAGTTCATAATGATATAAAATACATCTACTTAGAGAAACATGTACACTTATTTCAGAACAGAAGTGTATGCTTTTTAAATGTATAAATGATCACTGAATCAGAACTTTAATTTTAATTTGGTCTAGTTTTCACTGAAGATTCTCTAATGAAAATAAAGATGAATTCTTAAAGGTGCAAAGCTGATCTGTAGCAGCTCCATATTTACTACTGAACACCTCATGAGTGAGCCTGGGCTTCAAAGCTAACATTTTCTAACTGTTTTACAGGTAAATGTTCTCAAGTTATTTTTCAGAATTGCTTCCAATTTTCTAATACATAACCAAAAAAATTGGCGAGTACTTTCAAATTAGAAAGGGAAAATGCATCAAAAATACAATGGCACACCAACTGGTAAAGCAGCCAATCATAAGAACATTCAAGCAAGCCATCATTGTATGACTTACCATTTCTCTAGCATTTCGGCAAAGAGCCATATCAGGATCCAATTTATCACGAACAAAATAGTTTCTTTCATTCATCTCTGATCGGAGTGTCTCTCCTTTAATCAAGTACACATTGGCCATATATGGCACATTCCATAGCCCTCTGAAAGCAAAGAAAAGATAGTCCAAAACATCACAAACACAACAATTGTTAAGTTTTATTTTTAGGTTTTTAAATAAATGTGGTGCATGTTTTTAAATTTTGTATATATATACTACAGGATTGGATTGCATGTAAATACATTTAATATTTGACATATATGCATAAGTCTAAATGCAGGTGCTTTTTAAACTCTGAGGCATTGAGTGTCTTTAGCATGCTTATATCTTGAAAAATAAATTTCAAGTTAATGGAATTACTTGGTATGTACTACATGAGATTTTGGAGGCATATTACTAAGTTTCTAGATAAATTTCAATTTAGCATTGAGAATCTGTTTGCCATTTTCATCTGCCATTCCTTACTTAATTGTGCAGTTAAGTGTATAATACTCTGTTGTACAGAACGTGTTTCCATCAAAGGGTAAGCAGCTTGATAGCAAAAATAATAGAATATAACCAATGGTGTGCCAGAGCCAGCTCACATTAGTTCTAAGAGCTGACTTTTTGTATATCTTCCCAAGTCTGTGTTCAGTGACCTCATACTAGAATAATGAAATCATCCCTGGTAGAAATACTTATGCCACAGAAATTGGCAAATATTATACATCAGAGCACCCTAATACCCCCAAGAACCAGTGGTTAGACACTTAATTTAGCTATCTCAAATCCTTGTAGAAAAAGGAAGGTATACAGAAATGTAGCTTGAAGTATAGGAGTGTTAGGAGACACTTTGTGCTTCATTCTTTTCCACATCTGCCTTCTCATCATGAGCCTGAATCACCTGCAAAGAACAGCATAGGAAACGATTTGCCTAAAGGGTGGTGCCTATTACTTTTGAGAACAGAAAGGGAAGAACTAGACAAGAAAATGTAGTTATATATTAAAGGGAGTATAAGATTTTGTCTTACTAGACCAAATTCAAAGGAAATGGCCTTAAAAAGTAGTATACAATTTATCAACCTAATTCAGAAATTAATCTCTGGTCAGATAGGCAATGTTTCAATTTTGAAGGAGATACACACACATACACACATATTCACACACTCACACACAATATTTATTTATACACACACATCCCATACTCACTCACATACATATCATAAGATATCATTCCTTCACGTAAGTTTTAGACATGAAGTGTGTTCTTGTATCATTTAGATCAACAGTCTAAAGCCTATTCTTTGCCTTACACATTAGAAATATAATGCGGAGGATGGATAGAAAACTACTAGAGTCTAAATCAACATAAATGATACATGAATTCTCTAGTCTAGTTCTTTGCTTATTTGAAAACACAGACGATATCAGATATATGGTCTATACAAATCATCTTAGAGTTAATTAAAGTATTTTGAGATAACAGGATATGATCTTAGTACTGATTTCTCACTATCATGATTATTAATCGCTGTTAACAAAAGTTCTTAGCATACTGACATCATTCAGACTTACGCTTTCTACACTTTCGTAAGCAAAACGTCCTTTCTTCCCTTAACTATTCAAAGAGAAGAGTGTGATTTTTCCCACCCTAAATATAGAGGCAGATACTTTTACATGACCATATTTTTTTTTATTTTTGTTGGTCTGATGTGTCTAGGAATTAAGGTAAAGTACTTAATGACTCAGTCTCTCTAGTCTGGTTTACCGTATGAAGAAAAGAATGCCATTGTTCTCTGATGTCATCTTAGTAAAGCTATTTCCAGTGTGATTAATTTGCAGTTTAAAAAATATAAAGTGTTGTTTCTGAAATAAATATCATGCACACACTTTGAAGCAAGTATATTCTTTTCAAACTCTAGGAATAGTTATCAAAACACTCACGAAAATAGAGAATATTGGAAGGTTTCTGGTCACTGATGTTGTGTTTAACTACCTACACTTTTAAAAGAACCAAAACTATCTTCATCTTGGCCACTTAATAAATTACTAAACTTCTGTTGCAAACTTTTAACTAAAGGGTATAACTTTTCTACCAGCAACAAGATGTCTACTCCTAACTCTTGGTATCTCACACAATAAAATGTGTTTGTTCCTTTGAAGACTTAAACCTTAAAAACAATTTAAAAAGAAAATATTAGTTTTACACTAGCATATTTGAGGGTAGCATAGTGGCTAAGACACTTGCCTGCTAACCAGAAGGCTGGCGGTTCAAACCCACCAGCCACTCCTCGGAAGGAAGGTTGGGCAATCCTACTTCCGTAGTGATACTGCCTCGGAAACCCAAGGAGGGGTCGCTATGAGTCGGGGCCGACTCGACGGCACATAACAACAACAACAACAACAAGATATTTCTAGGTTCTAGATTTTCAGTAGACATTAAGAGATGAATAAAAAATATCAAGTAATATCAGCAGGATCCCATTTTTAGATTCTGGCATTTTACATTAAAAAATCAAATTGAATAACTTACACTCTGTTGCCTTGAACAATGTCTACATAATCTTCAGATCGAGCATAATATCCATCAGGACTCAATGCTCCCCAGAAGTTGGACCACAGCTTTCCATGACGAGTGACCAGAGGGGCAATGATTTTCCTAAAGGGGGGGGGGGAGCATGTAATAATTTCCTTTTTAATTATCACAAAATTGTCTGATTTGGGCTTAGCATAACACCTAACACAGCAAGATTCATTTACTGTATATCTAAAAATAAAAGTAAAATAAAAAGAAGTTCTTCCCAATACCTTATCTTAAGAGTATACTGCTAATTTTCATTCACATGTTTCAAAAGAATAAGGGAAAAATAAAACGTAATTGAAAATGTTAATTAAAGTATAAAAATGAATTAAAGTATAAAAATATAAGTTCTAAAATGAACTAACAACCAAAAAACTAAAACTACCTTAATTATTTGTTTAATTTCAATTTAATTCAAGCATTTCAGAAATTATGCCTACTGAAATACAATATTCCCATTACTATTAGGCAGATAGTTGCACTGGTGGTACAGTAGTAAAGCATTTGGTTGTTAACCAAGAGGTCAGTTATTTAAACCCACTACCTGCTCTGCAGGAAGAAGATGAGAAGTCTGCTTTCATCAAGATTTATAGCCTTGGAAACCCTATGGGGCAGCTATACTCTGTCTTATAGGGTTGCTGGGTCAGAATTGATTCGATGGCAGTGGGTTTGCTTGTTTGTTGGTTGGTTATTTGGCAGATAGACTAGCCTTGGTAAATTAAGGTATCAATTAAATATCTGTTGAATTAAAAGGAAAAAAAAAAATGAACACTGGCTGAGACATTTGTAAATAAGGCCACCAAGAAAACCAAACCAAATGCTCTGGAGTCCATTCCAACTCATGGCAACCCCATGCACTGCATGTGAGAATCGTGTTCCATAAAGTTTGCAATGGCTGTGACCTTTCACAAATCACCAGTTTTTCTTCTGAGGATCCTATGGGTAGATTGCAACTGCCAACCTTTCGGTTAGTAGCCACGTGTGGATCTGTTTATACTACCCAGAGACCTATAAATAGGCCTGTTTTCCTAAAATTAAATAACAAATTACTTTATATTTTTATTTTTTAATGATTTTTAAAATACATATGGCAATAGCAAGCTAGCTCTGGCAATACTGCATATTTTTCTGGTCCTTTAACTATTTTAGAAAACAAAAAAAAAGGATAACCAACATATTGTTCTGACTTACTACCTCTAAATAAAGTGGTCCCTTTGAGAAAAGCACATATTACAAATCCAAAGTATGACAGTTATCCTTAGAGAAATCTAATTTATAGTGTGTTTACATTTTATAAATAAAATAACAACATCTGAAGTTCCTCTAGAATTACTTGTAAAATGAAGTGAACTGTAGTGGTACCATCTAATTTTTAAGAAGCTCACATAAATCCTTCAAGAGGAACTTTACAGACTAGCCATTCTACACATACACACACAAAAAAAAACTATTTCGCAAGACTCCAATCTTGTGAAGAACAGCTAAGCCTTTGTCTCCCACACAAAGTGAAATAAAATAGGCAGATACATATTATCCAAAAAAATAATTTAGGTTTATTTTTCCAAGTTCCTATTAAAATGAAATATTAACCAGAGAGTTATATTTTATTTTCTTTAGAATATATACAATATGGAAAATAACATAAATTAAGATCAATATATGATATTAATTTAGGCAATGAATACTCAATGTCAATAACCAAAAGTATCAGCTATTTGTTAGGGAAAAAAAAAACCCTGAAATTTATAATTCTAGTTGCCTCCTAAAAAGGGATGGATTAAGAAAATTGGAAAACCAAAATTTATCTGCTATTTATCTCAGTGTTCAGGGGTATAGAAATGTAAGGGTTGCAGCTGGGAGATGATGAATCACATTGTTTAACTGAAGGGTAAAACTTGGATCAAGGCAGTTAATAGCAGAGATAGGAAGGAGAGAGGGTGAAGGGAGCAGATAAGATGTGAGAAAGTCACATGTCCTAAGACTAGGCTCATCTCCTGGCACCTCTAACTTTCAGTCAAGTCTACCAAATCTCAAAACATGCTTGTCTATGTATATTTCTTATGGAGACCATATGCTTGAATGCAGAAGCAAAGAACCATTGCAACATGAACTGAAATCTTTGATAATTAATAGAAATGTATGGAATTAGAAATATAGACTGAATTTTGCTAGCTCTCTAGGAGCCATGGGCCCAAGATGGCAGTTGGGTTATGTAACATGGACATTTTATGTTTAGAAGGAATAAAACATTAGATTAATACTAAGGGTGTTGTGCTAAATAAATAATACAGATTCATTAAATAGTTCACTAATAGACTGATAAGTACTTACCAATGCATGACAAGACAAAAACATCTAAATGTTATTAAAAGCATATGTGCATTACACATTACTGTATTTCAATCAAATTAATAGGAAATTAAAATTGCAAATACAAGAAATGATTAATTTCATTGGGTTTTATGAGTTACAAAATACAACTCTATCCTATATTTCTAAGGTAGTTCAACTGCGTTCCCTTGTCTTAAAGATCAAAACTTTGCTCATATTCTTTGGAAAATTACCTGTATTTTATAGTTATCTTCAAGGAATGGAGCTGTATATACAGACTGCTTCTGAAAGGTCTTCAATTTTTAGATAAAAACTGAGAAGTGACAAATTGCAAACTGACCAATTCTAGTGACGTATGCATTATAACTAGAGTAGGTGAATAGAGCATAACAGATTTTCCCTATATTTGCTCAGAAAACTAAAAACAGCCATTCTAACATCTCATCAACTAAATATTTTATCCATTAAGGGAAAGACTGTGTTAATATATAGAAACATATATAGTTCAATCTTTGGAATGTTGTAAGTATTCATTAAAGGTGGGATATAAAAAGTAGTAATAATAATAGTAGTATTAACAAGAAATGAATTCATATCATTATACAATGATATACATGGCAACTTTTTCCATTTCAATTTATTTAAATGAAAATTGCATTGATGAATGATAATTAGTACAGTCACGCATTGCTTAATGGGCATGATAAGTTCTGCAAAATAAGACATTATGTGATTTGGACATAGTGCAAACACTATATTACATACAGGAAGCCCCCAGATTACAAATGGACTCTATTCCTAAATCTGTCTTTAAGTCGATTTGTATGTAAGTTGCAACAGTTATGCATAGTTCATACCTAACATCAGTTAGTCAAATGTTTGTGTTAGTAAATGATATACAGTATAGCTTTCAAAAAAAAAAAAAAAAAAACTTGTAGATACACTAAAACATCTTTAACATAATAAAATAATAATAATAATATGTTTTGATGCATGTGATAAAGTAGCACCCATATATTATTTTAAGCCATTGTATGTACCTCAATTTTTTCATATAATATGCTTTAATTGCTTTAATAGAGGTAGGGACCATGGACGTATATGCGGTCACACTGCCCAAACAGACATTATGCATGACTACAGTATTAAATAAAGCCATAGATCTGACCATGGGATGATCTGTACCTCTGAAATTTCATTCAAATTCTAAGAATTACAACTCTATGGTTGATCTCCAGGTTTTTAGGTCAGAAATTTTATGTCATATAGTAAAAAAAAAACAAAAAGTGTAAATTTTACTAGTGTCAGACATTCCATAAATTCACCTAGCTTTTAATAGAACAGGCCAAATACAATTGACAAGCATTGCATTTATGGCTGTAACTAATATATTTCTGTCATCAGATCATCTTTCACTTGGAAAAAAAGTAAAAAAAAAAAAAAACTAATTAGAATTGAAAAATTATAAAGTAAAAAAAAGAGAAAATGGCTTAGTATAAGTTTTCTCAATTTCCAAAACACAGACAAGAAAATACAAGTGAACTGTTTCAAAGGCAATACTCTACACTTACAGACATAGAAAATGATTACTATTTTAAGAATTGATACTGAATCTTATATAGTACCTGTTTTGTTCAATCAAAATTTTTAAAGTTCTTGGATTGGTCAAAACAACATCTGCATCCACACTAAAGTAGTAATTGCACTTTTCATCCTGACGGCAAAAATCCCTGACATCAAAAAAGAAGATTAAATAAGAATTAGAAAGATTAAGTGTGTGACAGGTGAAAAATATTAAGTTGAATCTTATACATCAAATAAGGTCTCTCTAATGTACTTCTCAGGAGCTCTGGTAGCATAGTGGCTAAGGCACTGGACTGCTAACCAGAAGGCTGGCGGTTCAAACCCACCAGCCACTCCTCGGAAGGAAGGTTGGGCAATCCTACTTCCGTAGTGATATTGCCTTGGAAACCCAAGGAGGGGTCGCTATGAGTCGGGGCCGACTCGACGGCACATAACAACAACAAATGTACTTCTCAGGAGCTCTGGTGGTGTAGTGCCTAAGGCACTTGACTGCTAACCAGAAGGCTGGAGGTTCAAATCCACCAACCACTCCACAGAAGGAAGATGGGGCAATCTCGGAAAGTCAAGAAAGGGTCGCTATGAGTCGGGGCATGGCACACAACAACAACAACAACAATGTACTTCTCTGGGAAGGTGTAATGCCTAAGGCATTTGACTGCTAATCAGAAGGATGATGGCCTTCTGGTTAGCAGTCAAACACCTTAGGAAGTATGCCATCAGAGCTCCCCTAAACAAAATAGTGAGATAATATCTGAATGCAGAAATATTACCTTAAATTTCAAAATGATCAATTTATCAACACAAATGTTCACATGTAGGTCAACACTAAAACTTCTGACCAAGTAAAATATACCAATTCACCAAAATTGTTAAGTCATAAATAAAAATATTAAGTCAAGATAGTAATTCAGAAGTGCATATTTAATCCTATCTGAAGGGGGCAAATAATCACTCCAGCGTATTCATCAAAAACATTTTTTTTACAAAACAAGATAATTTTTTGCATACAAACACACACATGATGAAATATTCTATCTATGCAACAACTGAGTTTTAAGCAAATCTTAGAGCTAATAATATATAACTCTTTATGCAGTAATTTATGTAGAAATTAATTTGCATAGAATTTTTTCTATAATAGTTTCCTGCCTTCTTACCAGGGAAGACTGAATAGTATGTACATTTCTTAGTAGTCTGCAGCAGTACCAGGAGTGGCATCACACCAAGGACTTAGTCACTCACCATACCCGGATGACATGGGAAATGTGCCCACATACTATGTCTTCAGCACTTAGGGTTCTCCCTTTCCTAGTTCTGAGTTTCTGTCCTCTCATGGCTAGTTTCATTTATCACATCCTGCTGCTGTCAGTGTGTATCTATACACCACATTTATTTCTAAGGTCAAATAGGACACTAAGCAGGAAAACTTAAACTATGCAAATAGTAAGAAAAAATAAGTTCTGAATGTGGGCCCAAAGGATGCTCTAATGAATAAATTATGATAGCATTAGTAAGAACATCTGTTGGGCTTTTCAGAGGCCTGTTTCCCTGCCTACTGCTGCACTCCCACACCAGGCAGAATCTACTACTCCCGTTCTGAGCTTACACGGCACAAGATATTTTACAGTGGGTAGTAAGCAAGAATATATCCTTCTGAGATGCCACCATGTTTTATTCACCTTGTGATCACCAGCCCTGAACATAATGCCTAGCAGATTCAATCATTATTCATCGAGTAAATGATTATTTTTACTATTATCAGAGTTTTTATTTGTGATCTGAAGAATTCCAATGACTAAACAAAGGACCTCAAATCTCTCTTCTGGAGGTTATGTTATTATCTAGATTAGCAGGTAAACTAAAACTCAGAAATATCCTTCCTTCTCTACAATGTGAAACACGCATTTTTACCACACCCACACAACCTTCCCATAGTAAACAATTAAATCACTGCTATACTAGTTCTATACTATTTGTTTCTTTCTGTGTATTTCTATTTAAAATCTTGGTCTGAAGTCCAATTACCACTTTGATTAAATGTGTTGATTCTTATTCTTTAAAATAAAAATGTAAACATCCTTTACATGTAAACATATGCAAGCACAGACACAGTCTGACAACAGGCATACATGTACATAGAGACCCCACTGAGATGCCCAAGTTTTGGAGACACCTAATTTTGGAAAAAGTTTGCTTTTTCTGAAAGTCTCTTTACTAGAAATTGTTTATTAAATTTATTAAACATACATTCCCATGTTCCTGGCTTCAGCTTGACTTAGGTTTTCTTCTGGTCCTACTATTTTTATAGCACTGATTTCATGTTTAGCTTTATCAAAATATGCCTTGATGTCCTTTTCATGATAAACTTCCTGCAAGATATTTAAAATATCCAAAATTAGAGATAAAGTAATAAGATAACTGAACTAGTTATATGTATTTCTTCACATTCAAAGCTATGAATTCCACAACTCAAATATTCTCTCAAATATAGATAAATGATATCCATATTAAATGTGTTATATTTAAATATCACTTAAATGCCATATGAAGAATCTAAAAGAGGTACATATTAATATTCTTTAAAGAGAAGATACTTCAAAATTCTTTAAACATCTAATCCTAAACAGGTCTTGGCAATAATGTTTAAATTCTGGGTACTATAAAATGTTTCTAACTCAAAGGGGAAAAATGGCTTGTAGCCCAAGAATCTTAGCCTTGTAATGTGAAATATCCAGGAAGGAAGACTGGGCAACCTACTTCCATAGTGATACTGCCTCAGAAACCTAAGGAGGGGTCACTATGAGTTGGATCTGATTAGACAGCAGTTAGTTAGTAATAGATATTAATTTAAGTTGCAAATGAAAATCATAATTTACAAAAGAAAATGTTACAGTATCCTTTGAAACCTAGAAAAAATTAATGGTGACAAAAATTTTGCTTCAACAATTAGAGAGGAAAGTTTAACAAAACATCATTGTTAAGAAAATATAATGAGAAAATTATCAACATAAGAGTCTATGAATCAGTGTGATTCTATGGTGCTAAAATTCAGATAAGATTATCTGACTTCATGATAAGAGTTATTACAGTGCTTTTTATTAATCATCCTACTCAGTATTTCTGAAAAGTTAATGGTTTCATAGCTTATTAAAAGGACCATAGTGAATTTTAAGTAAAAGAGTAGAAGAGAAAAATTCCTACCCTCAAGAATGCTAAGATCCTATGAAAGCAGAAAAAAATAAAATAAAACACACAATACATGAAAACATAACTTTAATGAAAGTACATATATTATAATGCATTTCACTAAGTAAATATTCTCAATGATTCATACATTTCAACTTAGTTTAACTGGTTTTGTAATCATTTAAAATGTTGTGTTGTTATGTGCCGTCAAGTTGCACCCGACTCATAGCAATCCCTCCTTGGGTTTCCAAGGCAGTATCACTACAGAAGTAGATTGCCTAACCTCCCTTCCGAGGAGTGGCTGGTGGATTTGAACTGCCAGTCTTCTGGTTAGCAGTCAACTGCCTTAGGTACTATGCTACCAGAGCTCCTAAATTTAAAATATTCATTTAAAATATTCTCTTCAAAAAAACATAAATGAGTAGCTAACATGTACATTAAGAAGAAAAAATAATGGCATATGAAAAGTTTTGGGACAGGAGAGAAAAAATACAGTTCACAGCCAGTTTTTCTAGATGATAAGTACAGACTGTTTAACAGAACAGGGACATGTAAATGGAAAAATATTGAAGAAAAGTGTATTTAAGATTGCATGTGGGAGGCGTTTGGGAGGGTTTGAATATTTTAAGGACATAACAGTATTCCAGTCCTTTGGGGAAAAGCACACCAGCTGTGTCATGAATCAAGATAATACTCTGTCTGGAAGCCACTTAAGTTCTGATTCTATGGTGTTATCAAAATTGCAAAAGATAAAATGAAAAACAAAAACAAAAAAGGCGAAGGAATATAAGATCCTTCGACAGCTCCTTCATAAAACTTGAGCCATATGAAAACTGCTGATGTCCAACTGATCTCCATGTAAGTTACCACAATGTGATGATACTGGTTTACAGACTCTAAAATCCTTAGGTCCTGCAATGGCAGGGCTGGCAGCATAGTGCCTAAGGCACTTGACTGCTAACCAGAAGGCTGGCAGTTCAAACCTACCAGCCACTCCTTGGAAGGAAGATGGGGCAATCTACTTCCTTAGTGACACTGCCTCGGAAACCCAAGGAGGGGTCTCTATGAGTCAGGGCCAACTCAATGGCACATAACGGCAACAACAAGGTAATGGCAGGGCAGTAATCACTTCAAACTTCCTCCACAGAATTTAGCCCAATGAATTCTTTTAGACATAAATAAGTAATAAACAACTAAACTGTTTCAAACAATACCAGAAACAGTTTCCAAATAAATGTTTCCAAATTCTTTTCTCAAATACTTACTTTGTTGTGAATGAAGAGTTTAAGGGCTTCTTTCGGGTAATCCAATGTCAATAATGTGTCCAGAAATCGAGGTAGGAAAGGAGTAGGTTGCTCAATAAAAATGCCTATTGTTACATTTGGATAGACCTATGTTTCATGGCAAAAACACAAAAAATATTTTAGTGAGGTATTACTTTAAGTCCTATCCAAGTCTTAATTAGAATAATGTAAAATAAAAGAATCTCAGTTGAAGGTAAGCTAAATTTGAATTGCCCTCTGGCAGTTGTCTAACTCTTGAAATTTTCATGGACCCCATCAAAGTAGTTTTACTGAATCACATCTTGCCATTATGCCTTAAGTTTGAAGAAGAAATGTACATATTTACATTTTCTAAAAATTTAAAAGTAATTAAGGACAATGTCAACTCTCCTACTTAATGTTGCCTTTATGATGGCCCTTGAAAAAACTTCCCTCAAATCTAAATGTTATTTTGAAAGCTACATCTAAGAATACCAGTTGTGTTTTCCTTTATGTTTTCTTAAGCCCAGAGCTTAATTTGTAGCCTAAATAAAGCAAACATGGAGGATCTAAGCTTCTTTATTTCTATCCTTAACTATTTCCTTTAAACCTGATAGTCTGTTCTTTTCCTATATTATATATTATATCCAAGCAAAGTTATTTTATTTCACTAATATATTTTATTTTATTATACTGTATTTTTACATATATTCTTAATTCTTCTTTGGCTATGTTTTAGTATGCAGTTTACCTTTCACACATTGCATGAAATATACACCAGGCTTTGGGTAGGCAACATTTAGAAATAGCCCCAGATTGAAAAACTTACAGATGGCTGGGCAAGACACAAACTACAATATATGGTGCTATTACCATGTATTTCAGCATAATGCTTTTTTAAAACCATACTTTCATGTCTTAATGCCTAAATTTAAAAATTACAGATTTTTAAAAGTACAATATATGCTAATTTCTGACCTCTTCCCATCAGTCACACATGATGCAGACTTCCATTATCTATATTATAATTGAGTATTTATTTGCATTGAAGCACACCTCGTACACTGCTGTACTTCTTTAATCTTTCAATTCATTTACCTAATCAAAATATTATTAAATGAATGAAAAAATACAAAGAACTAAGTACAAAATATCCACCCTCTAGGCATTCTCACAGTCCCTGGGTAGCCCAAATGATTTGCACGCTCAGTTACGAACCTAAAAGTTTGCAGGCTTTAACCCACTCAGAGGTGCCTAGAAAGAAAGGGTAGATCTACTCCTGAAAAAATAAGCCATTTAAAACTCTATGGAGTACAATTCCACTCTGAAACACATGGGGTTGCAATAATCATAGTCACTGTCATGGTGACTGGTCAGGAGTTCTCAATTTAATAGAGGAAGTCAGTAACAAGTGGAACAGAGTCCTCTCTTATCCAGTGAAATAATGGGTTGTATTTAATTTAATAATGCCACATCCTTCTCTTGGAGCAGCTGGTAGATTTGAACCACTGACCTTTTAGGTATCTGTTGGGTGGTTAACCACTGCACCATCGGGGCTCCATAATAACCTTGTTGTTGTTGTTATGTGCTGTCGAGTCGGCCCTGACTCATAGCAACCCCTCTTTGGGTTTCCGAGGCAGTATCACTACGGAAGTAGATTGCCTAACCTTCCTTCTGAAGAGTGGCTGGGGGGATTGAACCACCAGCCTTCTGGTTAGCAGTCAAGTGCCTTAGGCACTATGCTACCAGAGATATAATAACCTTAGACATTATTTATTATTCTAAATTTACACATGAGAAAAATGGAGTTTAGAGAAGTTAAGAAACCTAGGATACATACACTAACAGGATTTGAACCTGGTACATCTCCTTTACTCACCTATGTTCGATTTCATATAATTTTATGTAACAATAATAATAACAGCCCTCTGAAGGAAGGTTGGGCAATCCTACTTCCGTAGTGATACTCCCTCGGAAACCCAAGGAGGGGTCACTATGAGTCGGGGTTGACTCGATAGCACATAACAACAACAATAATAACAGCTAACATTCATTGAAAGCTTAGTGATACACACACACACACACACACACACACATGTGTATTATTCCATTTAACCTTCAATATCAACCCTCTGTTGTTGCTGTGTACCTGGGAGTCCAGTTTGACTTATATGCCTCTACAGCACAGAATAGAATGGCCCCAAAGGGTTTCTTAGGTTGTAATCTTTATGGGGGCACATCATCAGTCTTTTCTCCCACTGAGCTGCTGGTGGGTTCATACAACCAATCTTTCCATTAGCAGCCATGCACCACACCACTGTGCTATCAGGGCTCCTTTTAACCATCTGAAATAATCATTATTATAAGACTCTTGCCCATCCATGGCCTACTTCTAACCATACGGTAAACCTGGGATTTGAACTCAGCAAGTGCAACTTTAGAGTCTATGCTCATTACCATCCACACAATTTTAAATTCTACATACATCCCTGTTGTGTAATAATTACACATAAAAAACACATTATAAATTTAGTTTCCATGATGGACTGCATAGCTCCTCCCCAACACTAGCTCATTTTAAAAGTCTGGAAGATAGAGGAACTTAAAAATCAAGTGATTTACTCCTATAGGCAAAAATATAAAAATATTTGATATAAACATAATATCTATCTTTTCACTAGAAAGTAAATATAAAAGAAAATAAAAAGCACTAAATCTCCCTCAGGAGGACAATGCTACTTTCTGCAAAAGAGAACAGGATGAAGTTTAAACATTTCCATGATGCAGCTTCATTCAGAACTCTCCTGGCTTCCTTCCAGATAGGAAACATTCAGTTTGTTGTTTTAGAGACTGGCCAGAAGTCTTATTTTAAACTAAAATAGGGCTTTAGTCAGAAGCTCCTAAATGTGTACATGTTACTCTATGCAGTAATTAACTCAGGAGCTTGCAGTGATAAGAACAGAACTATTTAATTTAGGAATTTCAGTTTATTAAAGTGAAAATACTTTGCATTTGTATGGCTACCAGACTTACCAGAACTATATCGCTGAGAAATTTAGTTTTTCCTCTCTTACTTCTACTTATCTGGCATGCTGTAACTACTCAATAAACCTATGATGAATGAATGAAAGTATCAGCCATAATGATAAAAATCACTCCCTAAAATCCAATTTTTCATAATATTCTTCTAAGCTCTGAACACAATTTGTTGGAAGGAAAATATTTCTACAGGATCTACTAACACTGCTGTCACTGATGACAGAACAAAGATCCATAGGAATGTTTTATATACAAATTAGAAACATTACCAATTGCCTGTTCACTCTTAATATATAAATGATAAAAAATAATTGTGATTCTCTATGAAATATATGTAAGTAGCATTGTGCCTGACATATATTAGGCATGTGCATGACATAGGGGCAAATAACTCAGTGGTTAAGAATGTACACTTAGGAGTCAGATTACCTAAATTCAAAGCCCAACTCCAGCACTTAAAAAATACATACTCTTAGGCAGGATACTTGTTTTCTCATATATAAAACTGAGTAATAGCACTATTCCCCACAGCAGTTTTTCTGAACAAAAATGAGTTGCAATATGTAAAGTGTTTATAACAGTTCCTAAACTATATAATCACACATGAAGGAGCTCTGGTGATGTAGTGGTTAAGACAGTTGGCTGCTAACCAAAAGATCGGTGGTTTGAATCTACTAGCCACTTTGCAGAAAAAAGATGAGGCAGTATGCTTCTTTAAAGATTTACAGCCTTAGAAACTCAATGCGGGTTGCTATGAGAAACATATCATTATTTTTTAAATTATCAAATCTGAAAACCAAGTACAGATAAAATTAATCAATGAAAACACTAAAGCATCATCATAATTTTTTCTGAATGCTTTGGACAATTATATACCAATTATCTACCAACGAGCTGACTCTGACTCCTGGCAGCTCCACGTATGTCAGAGCAAAACTGGGCTCAAAAGGGTTTTCAATGACCGATTTTTGGAAGCAGAGTACCAGGCATTTCTTCGAAGGCACCTCAGGGTGGACTTGAACCATGAACCTTCCAGTTAGAGCACTTAACCGTCTGCACTACCCTGGCACTCCTTTGATCAAGTTAGCAGACTTAAATGAAACAAAAGCACACAATCATAACAAGCTATTAAGCATGAACTACCAAGACTCTTTTATCTGGTTCAATAATTATCTAGCTTTGATTGTAAAAACAGTTTAGAAATCAACAAATCCAGCAACTTTCTGAGTTTTAAGTTTATAAATCCATTATCTACCATGCAATCAAAGCTACAAAATGTCTTTTTCATACAAATTACAACGTACTTTTTATTATTACATTTTGCACACAGTCAATTCCACTTACATCTACTGCAGATAAGTCAATTACATTCACATCACAAAGAGTGCATCCATTGTCCTGTGTCCACGCATTAGGTACATAGTTTCCAAAATAATTCAGTATAATCTAGTATATAAAAGAAAATTGTATTAACAAAAGTAAGTCTCTCTCCTCAATGTACTTTCATTCTATAATCACTACTTTCAAAATGTATTTTCTGCATTAGGTACATTCCTTTAATAATTCTATTATTACTTATCACTAGAAGAAGTACAACCGTATAAACAAGTTTGTCTGAAGACTATGAATCATAAAATAGAGCATACATTAGACTAGAAATGAAAAAAAAAAGGCTTATAAAGAGTAAAGGTGCTTTTATTTCATCATCTATGTGATACTATGGAAACAGACACAATTAAGGAAATATAGAAGTCAAACAATGAAACAGTTTTAAATGAGCTAATGAGATGTATCAGCAAAAGCAATAAAATAAAGGTAGCCATGCGATTACCAATTTAGTAGTAAGATGATTTTAAAGTCCCAGAGGAGGCACCTACACTGAATGGGGTGGCAAGAGTATAACCTCTTTCTTACCAAAGCATCATTACATAAAATTAATAGTAGACTTTATCACCAAAAGACAGTAAAATCTTCCAGGAAACTATGCTACTGTAAACCAGGCTTCTGGGCAGTGATTCAGAGACACTGACTTCAGGAAAAAATAGCTTGCAGATTAAAACAGATCTGGAGCAAATTCCTAAAAACATAAATACAGTCACCCCGTGAATCCTTCTATCAACAAAACGATCAAGTAGAATAATACTTTCACATCCCTACTCCCTTCTAGACATTCAGAAAACTCCTTTGTTAACTTATCTTCACTCTCCTTGGTCAGCTATTGGTATTCATTTTACCTGTAAAGTCTGTGCCTTTGCGTTTGTTTTAGATGAGGATTGGAAGGGATGAGGACGTAAGGCTTGATGATTTTTTTTATTCTTAGCAAGCTTGATTCTATCTTTTTTTAGGTAGGATCCCCTTTCTTTAAAACTTGGTTCAACCTCATGTTATAATTAATTTGTTCTCTCTCTAAAATACAACAATCAGTTTCTGCTGCACCCTGTAATCTATGACAGGGACATCAATGTCAATAAAGGTTCCTGGGCCAGACTTTATGACTGGCCACCTGATATTTGACAAACACTTACCTCACCTTTTAAGGATTTCCTGACCACTGGGAACTCAAAGAAACATTTATTTCTTTACTACCCATTGTCTTATCTAACTTTTGGAGAATTGTTAACTAATCCTGCATATAACTTCTGTCTCTTTTTCCTTTAGTATAAGAAACCCTGATTGTAAGCGTTGAGGACAGCGGGAGTTTTATGGAGCCACCAAGATCCTGTCTGTCTCTCATTGATGCACCTCCTAATTAAATTCTCTCATTCTCCTTGAATTCTTACGTGGAAAATTGGTTGTAGCGCCTAAGGCATTTGACTGCTAACCAGAAGGCTGGCAGTTCAAACCCACCAGCCACTCCTTGGAAGGAAGATCGGCCAATTTACTTCCACAGTGATACTGCCTCAGAAACCCAAGGAGGGTCTCTATGAGTCGGATCTGACTCGACAGCAGTAAGTTTTTGTCAGTTTCAGGGCCAGACCCCAGCATTTTTCAAATGACAGTTTCATGGCACCCAATATGGGACACTGCCCGTGGCCTCACCCTGAAGTCACCCTCCTATGGACTTCTTGAGAGCAAGGAGGCTTTGGGAGACATGCCACTCTGCCTAGTTGGGGTTGTCCTTTGGAGCATGTTCTCACTGCTGGTGACAAAGAGGACCTCTCAGGTGATGCAAGCATTTCTTCAGCGAAGAAAGTGACTTGTTGCTAGGTTGGAGGTAAGAACTTCGTATAAACCCCTTAAAACCAGGAGCTGTTTCTTGGTGATGTGGGAGGCCAAGAACAGGTGACTAGGTCCCATGAGGAACCACGTGAGAGGACAGCGAAGAAACAAGTTTTCCTTAAGATAGGAAACAATCAGAGTTCTATCCTAGATTACAGTCCTTAGAGTATATTCGTAAGAATTGTGTTTACTTATGTGAGAATCCTATGAGGAAGAACAGAATGAAGTTTTTGTGTACCAACTTCTGGCTCAAGTATCAACTCCCCAAGGGAGCATCCTGGCCAGAGTTTGTATCATTAAATTATGATGATAGTTTACAGCTTGATTTGTACCATACTAGAAAGGAGAAATGGAATGAGAAAACGTATGTTGAATGTTTTATGACACTGTGGCATGATAAGGAATCACAAACCAGATATAAAATTCAAGCTCTTGTTTTAGAGTTATCTGAAAATGATGACAATGTTTTAGATGTTCTTTAACTCCTCCAGCAAAGGGAAGATATCCGTGGAGAGGGACACTGGTGGCTACATCCTCTTGCTCTCCCTCCTCCCATGGTATCTGAACACCATGACACAAAACCTAGCATCCCACCTTGTGGAAGTGACATGCAGATGAAGGAAAGATGGTGTCTTCCCCCAACAAGCACTTGGGTGTGAAATTTGGCCCTACACCAGGGGGGCAACTTCCTCTCAGACAGGGACTGGTAGTCGAAGGAGATGAAGACAAACAATACGGTGGGTTCATACTCCTTTTTCTTCTTCTGACTCATTCAACTAAAAGAATAACCTACCCCTTTACTGGGAGCTCTGGTAACATAGTAGATAAGACACTTGCCTGCTAACCAGAGGGCTGGTGGTTCAA